TATCTATCTATCTATATATATATATATATATATATATATCTATCTATCTATCTATCTATCTATATATATATAGATATTTTTTTTTCAAATTTCAATTCAATTGCTAATAATCCAAAGCTTGCTGGAATGTGGGTTGACCATGAGGATGCACAGAATGAAGATGTTATCATAATACTGATGACCATGGTGATGGTGATAGGATGATAATATTTCCTTGATCAAAATAAGGGAGTTGAATGATACAAAACCACCATCCATTAATACTTTCAATCATTCAGGAAATGATAGGAAGTTGTGTAATCATGATTTTTTTTGGTCCCTATCAGCTGCTTGTTAAAATCACACTATGGGAACAGCTTGAATGTGATGTTGACATGCAGGATCCATCCATACCATTAAGCAGCAAGGGGAGTGTATGCAGATAAACAGATAACACCTCTTGCTGTAGAGATGCTGCTAAAGAAGTGGCGACAGTGGGATTATCAGTATTTAAATGAATGGTCCTTATGAAGTGGGCAGTCAAGTGGCAGCAGAGGAAAGAGGAAAGCATGCTTTAAGTAGGAGCACACAGGGAAACCTGTAATTCTGTGGTCATTTCATACTAATTCTTCATACTTTTCTCATGCTGCTTTGCACAGACACACACATTGGACACAACAGTGTGGAAAACGCCATTCTTGACTGCACAGCCTTTGAGAGTTTGAGTGTGGTAACAGCAACCCCTTGTGCATGCAAAAAGAAATGCCCTGTTTCAAGAGCTGTTGACATTAATCTACAAATACATGACTTCAGCATAGATCAGAGAGAAATCAGCACCCAGATCACTTGTGGTTGAAAGAAATGAGCTAATGAATTCATATCAATGTCTGGCAGGGAGCATGGTAATATTCGCGGTCAAACAGGATTTCCTCTGATGCCTGTGGATTGTGTTGGGAAGAAATATATTTATGAAATCTGCTCCATGAGCACCACAGCAGGGGTGAACCTAAAATGTGTGAAAATCAGCTATTCTGTTCAGATAATACCTCCCAGACTCATAGTAGCACATTTTTTTTAAATGAACGTCAAACAAAATTGTCTCTTCAAAGCGTGCGCTGCCTCACATGTCATTCAAAAATGTACACCTGGAGTGTGGGATAAACGGGATGCTCAATGACAATGACACTCCACAGTGGGGCTGCTTTTAGGCAACATTCAGGCAGAAGAATACTGTGAGACCTACGCAGTGTGATCTGCTGTACTGACTTATGGACCAGATCTTATTCTACACATGAAAATGTAGAAAATGAATGTGAATGTCTGCACAGCAGCCAAATCTTGAAATTTGACAATGTAATCATCCTCAGAAACAGATTCTATACTTGCAATTACAGAAGACACATATGAATGTGGATAACATATCCCACATTCATATGTAAACCTGTTTCAAACCCATTCAGAGATATCAAAGTGTGACTCTTAAATTATGTTGATGTAGACCTTTATAGTAGGCGTTTCTGAAAGGTTTAACTTTGAATGCATGTGTTTATTTTTTTCATACACACAACACACTGTACTGTATCTGCAGATTATTGGCACTGCTATCAATATGAAATACAGACACATGGATATGGATTTATCTTTCACCAACCTTTTACTCTTCTCACTGAGACGTGTTCAACAATAATTTGTCAGACCAAAGGGTGCAGCCATGTCACGCATCTGCAAATTATCACCAATATTTGGCCTTTCATGATATTTGACAGAGCTAATCTGGAAGCTAATCTTTTGATGAAAGTCAGCGGCCTTTGTCTTGAGATGGGTAGATCGCTTTACAGTTATCCACAAAAACCTTTTGAGTCTCTCATGGTACACAAATCTCAGTAAATCTGTCACGGGGTGTGGTGGAGGACTCAAAAGCAGACATAGTCAGATGCAGTGAGAAACGGGTTTTAATGAGAAATGAACAAGACAGGGAATCCAAGGACGAGACAAGAGATGAGGGGGAAAATCCAGCAGGACAGGACAGCTTATTTGCATGATTTCTTTCTAGTATTTGACAACTGTTTGAATCCTTTCTTTTAAATGTTTCTTTCATGTTTTATAGTGAGAAAAGGTGCACTGAATTGAACTAAGTACTAAAGAACCCATTATGAAACTGATACACGTGTGGAAGGTTTTCAGAACATCCTGTCTCTCATGCAAACACAAAACTCTTTGTCACCTAACCTCAGGTGCATCATTAAAATTGTATTTGCACATGAAGAACAAACAAGGTACGAACAACCGTACATCATTCTGACTACAATCAACAATAAGATGTAAGAGCTCAACAGAAAAACAAACATTCAAGTGCCTGAATTACTGAAAATGTATTAGGCATTTATTAAAGCAGTTTCTGCAATTATTTTGTGCATGTGTTGTGATAACAGTCTGTGCTTGAATTCAAACATTCACTCAGAATGAGGAATAGTACTATTGACATTCTGAGTGAACACCAATTTTGGTCCCTGATCCCAGGCTGCTGCTCCGTTATTATTATTATAAAACTATTATTATTGTACTTTTATTGATATCAATGATTTAGTTTTCATATTTGCTAATGACCAAACACACTCCTGCCAGATCCCAACAACAGAGGAGTAATAGAATGAATAAAAAATAGAAAGACAAGCCACAAACATCAATTAATGACAACTTGAAAACATTACAAACCACAAAATAGCAAAGGTTTGAATAATAGATAAACAGTAGAGCGAGAGCAGATCACCAAATACAATCAGTGGAGTGACTTTAGAAATACCTCAGTGCTGAAGCTTAATCCAAATGTGATTCAGTGTGATTCGCGTGTGTACATTTGGTTTAACTGCTGTATGTTTTTCAGACAGTAAATACATGCCCTGCAGTCCATGAACATGCACTTAAGGACTCTGAGTATGTGTTTTGGGACACCGCCTTTTAGGCATCTCCTCCACAGGCCTTGATATGATTGACAGGACAGATTGACGTTTCCTCATTTGGCTGTATTTTGCTTTCTCACATTTCCTGTCTGCACACAAATAACATTGGGGCTTCTGTGCGTCATACGTTTTTTAATTTATTTGATTGGTTCTGAATAAATGATAATTTATAAATGTTACCTGTTGCAGCCTTAACCGTGTTTATGGGGTTTTTCCCTAATGGAGAAGAACCATTATTGGCACAAGGCTGAACACATTTTTGCAAAAACAACTATGCCCCCTGGTCTTTTGTGCAGTGTGTGCATGATGCATTATATATAAGGAAATAATGAAAAATAAAATAAAAAGAATTGCAAAAGAAGAACCTTTACATTTGTGATGCAGGAAAATGACAATATTGCAGGGAACTATTAAGTGGTTATTTCATGCAGGATTTAAAGGCAGAAGCCCATTATCAACATCTCTATAATGCATTACCAGCTGATCCTCACGGGCTTCCTTGTAGAAGTGTGTTTTCTTATGCATGAGAGCAATATTTAAAAAGGTAGACTGCCAAATCAGTTTGTTAAATGTTGCTGAAGCAAAGACTTAATATAGTGTTTTAATGGTGTTTTCAAGCACCTTTCTCTCATTAACTCTGTGAAAGGTGGAGCACCACTGTTGTTGGTGTTTCACGATGTGAATTGGTCTAAAGACATGAGATGCTTATCACACATACTAAAAACTGTGTTCCTTGAAATAAAACAGAATATGAATCCAGGTCAGATGAAAAACTCTTCATTTTTTAATCATCAGAAAACTCCAGGAATCCCCTCAGCGCTCTGAGAATCGTCCAGCAGAGGCACAACTTTTAGGGCTTTTATTTAAATAAGAACAATGAACAGGCACCATCAACGAAGTGGGATAAACTGAGGATCAATTTTGAGGAAACCACTTTGTAGATAACCTATAATCAGAGCAAAGTAAATATCCAATCATTAGCATATCAAAAGAGAAAAATAAGTAAGTGCATGCAGTACTTCTTCTTCCTCCTTCATTTGAATCATAGAAGCAGCAGGGGATAAAGTTCCAGATGTTCTGGGATGAGCCCTCTTCTCAGAAATATTTAACTGCTGATTGGATATTGTGTATTATGTGTAATTTGCCGGTTAATTAACACATTTAGGAGTCCGGGTAAATAGGAGCTACTTCAACACTGTTTTAAGTCCCTCTTCGATCGAATTATTTTACTATTCATCCATTTCGACACTGTGTTTCAGTGGGATTCATAATGCTGCAAAAAAGCAGGTCCACCCCGTGCTCTATTATTCAGGCCTCAGTCAGTCACAGACAGTCATTAAAGTTTCATAGGAAGCAATTTGGTTGCTGAGTTATTTGCAAAGTGAGGTGAGTGCATTTGGTACCTGTATTGTTTATAGCTTGGGTTTCCATGCTTCTCATGTCAAAAGAGCACCATTCTGTTCTCTTGAGGGGTTAATTTTTATTCAGCGATGCCTGTGGGGAAATTATTAAGAACTACAGATGATCATCAAGGAGTCAGGGGGTCATGACATTCTGAAACATAAGCCATTTTAGAGAATTTTGGAGAATGTCTTGCCAAACAGTCAAATTCCTGCGAATAAAGTTGTAAAACTTTTTCCAATGTTGAGAGTTGACTATTACTGCAAAACTTTATTGATTACTGATCCATGCATTTCTGCATTGCTCACATATGTCAGTAGCAACATGACCCCGAAAAAGCCAGATAAAATGTGAAAGTGGGTCATGTCAGATTTATTCCACCAAACTAATAAGAATTGATGCAGAGATCACAGGGAATTTAAACATATTTAGCCTGAGATGATTGCACTACAGCAACATGCTGTGATTTGTAAGAGTGAGATTAAAATTGAAGACTGAGTCCCCCCCCCCCAATAAGAATCACTGGAATATTAATTTCCACATATAATTAACAGATTTGAAAATATTCAGACCAAGTGCTTTGACTTGTATATAAAGAGCTCAGTGACCACATATGATGGACAGACCAGAATTCAAAGTATATTCTTAAAAATTACAACAAACTTGGTTCCAATCATAAATAGAGGCTTCCACAGATATGTGCATTTGTGTTTTTAAGTCAATAATTGTTTGATACAATAGTCCAAATTGTTATGATCAATTCATATTTTTGACTAAAAGCAGAACTCGGACAAGATCTGGTAACAGTTTAAAGTGCATTTTATGCAAACTAGTCGGAGTGGAGTTTGAGTGAGCTGGGCAGAGAAGAGCAGGCAGAAAAAGCATGCTGTAGATCTCAGACAGCGAATGAACCTGAGGCACAGGTAGAAGCACAGTTAAACAAAGTTCAGGTAAACATGAGGATATGCAACTAGTGTTAAGTTTGGCCGAGGCATCAGTACCAGCGGTACATGTATGAATGTGATAGAACCTGAGTTGTAAGTCGCTTTGGATAAAAGCGTCTGCTAAATGACTGTAATGTAGTGTAATGCCATGTTGGTAACTGAACGATCTGGCAAGGACTGGAGTGTAGATGAGCTGCATGAGCTGATGGGTCTCAGGTGTGCAGGTTGAGCAGCAGCAGCAGCCAGCAGCAGCAGCGAAATGAAGGGCCACACTGAAAGACAGAACAAACAGGGGACCAGCAGGAAATACAAGTTTTGTTTTTTTTCCAGTGTGAAGTGGGGACCTAATGGTTGACAGGTGCCATAAACCACAAACTCCTTAAGTTCATAAAATGCACGATCCCTGAACAATATGAAAGGGTGAAAATAGTCCCACATCCAAAACACATGCTTCTTGAGCTTTCAAATGCTTTTGACAAACTGACATATTATCCAGATTTGGGTTAAAACTGGAATGCTTTTTAATTGTTTGATGACTGCAAGTATACATTGTGTTATGTCACTGTTGAAACAATCCCTTCAAGGGTACCTCGAGGCTCCTTTCTTGGGCCATTCAAATTTACCCTCTAATGATCACTCAAATGCTACTGACAAAATAATAAAATAAAACGTCTTGCAGATGACACAAGTCTCATAATTTCCAAACATGCTGGTATGTTTTAGTCAACGTCTTATGTGTTTGTTAAAAATGTGTAAACCTCTTCTATCTTAATCTTGTGCACCATATTTAGTCACATGAGTTTGACAAAGACTGAATTTATTCATCCATGCTCAGTTTGGAAGCATCATCAGACCACATCCATGCAAGGAGACATTCAAGCCTGTGCACAGTGTAAGGGCTCATGCATGTGCCATTCTTCCAGTCACCTTGGTGTGTGTGTGAGAGAGAAAGAGTGTGCATGTTTATGTCCTGTCCTTGGTTAGCTAATTGATCGAACAATAGAAATTAAATCAATGACTGCCACTGAAGTGCTAGATGCATCAGTTTTATTTTTGTTTCCACCGATTTCTCTGTCACGAACTATCTGCGGTTTTGAGTTCATTAATGTCCATCACCGGTAATTACGCTACTCATTAAGTACAAGGGCAGAGGGACCCATTAGAAGTGATGACTTCGATCCTGAGTCAAAGTCCCATTATGAGGCCTTGAGAGCACATTTTGTTTACACATGACACATTTCTGTGTCAATACGCAACAATGAGCTTTGGAAAAAAATATTCTGTTCTTGGTCTGGATTAAAAAAATGACATTTAATACCAAATAATGAGATAAAAATATACACGCTCTGCAACCCATCTGTTGTTTTTCTCTGTATACTGAATCTACACTGCAGTCAAAAATAATGTTGTATTACTGGTTACACTTCAAACAATGTGATTTTGGTAATTATCTCAAGTCAGAAAATATAAGAAAGCAATATGTAGATTAAATAATGTTTTACAGGAAATGGCCATCATGTGGATCCTATACCTGTAGACGACCATGTACATTGTTTTTCTCGCTTGTTACTGTTTTATGGGAACACTTAGGCTTAGCTGACCTTTTTCATTAAAGGCCCACCTGCTTATGCAGCACTAATTAAGAATCATATACCTGATAGTTTCTCAGATCCAGAGTAAAGCCACTGAAGTTAGTGGTGGTAAAACTCTTGCCAACTGTGTGGCTTTTGCAGACAGGCAATGCAATCATAAATAGCACACGATATACCGCTGATACAGTGACAGGTACATATATGATATAACTTAGCAATTGGTGCTTTAAACTGCAGCAAACAGATGCCTAATTCGACAAATAACAGTGAAGAAAATAGCCAACATCTACTCAAAATAACGTAATTGAATTCTTTTGTGAGGTATGTACTTGGATTTATCTATTTCATGCTACAATTCTGTTCCACTACATTTTTTAGTCATCTACATGCATTTGAGTGACATAGTTACTTTATAAACGATTGTACAAAACATAAAATGTACTTCTAAAATATGATGCATTCTTAAAGATGAAACTCCTCAATAGTATAAGCATGAATTAAAGATATATCAGCTGGACAACAACCGGCTGCAGCATCCAAATGCTCCTTAATTGTTAATGCATTTATAATATTACATAATCAAATATTAGGGCACGAAAGTTACAAACACTGCTCAGCAAGCTAATTTCTAATTTTCTTTTGTATTTCAGTCTTCCGTTAGCGCGTTGCATGAGATATCTAAAATGCTGAAATATAGGCTGTTCAGAAGTGTCTGACTGGCAGTAGATCTTCACAAATATCCTAATGCGAGCAAACAGACTCCCCATTCCTCTGCTTTAATTGATATGCAGGCTCTGCTCACGAGGACAATGGAGTCTACTTTGGTGTGGGCCGCGGAGAGTCATTCAGTGACCAGGAGAGGGCATCTCAAGTCCTGAAACGAGCATCACTGAGCTCATTTTAGTCCTACGCCAACATCATTCCTGTTGCTACACAACTGATGCATTCTTGATGCCACGGTCAACGGGTCTAATCTACAGAAGACTGCGCCTTCTCCCTCCGCTGTCCACATCTGAATCTGGATACATCCAATTTATCGGGTTTGGACCTCAGTTTATTCCTGTCAAATTTCTTCACTTGGTCGGTTTCCGGTGTCTTTTCTGCCACTTAAACCTAAATTTCACAATTGGCGACTCGGTGTTTAAAATGTATTTTCCAGCTACGCGCTCAACAGTTTCATTCTCGTGAGCTTGAGTGCGTCCTTCCAAGGGCTTTGTAAGGTGGCGGGCTGAAATATGCATTATCCTGCTGATGTTGTGCGGTAACGTAGGAAACTATAGACAGAGGTTGATGAGCATCTCTTGGAGCTACTCACATCTCCGACAGGTGTGCGGCTGTGCGCAAAGCAGATCTGGCTGTCGCGCAAAGTGCGTACATTTTCCGAGCATTCAGGCATCCTGGGTGCGTGTCCAACTACTTGGACAAAACGCCGAGTGCTTCTAACATGTGGACCTGGGACGCATGCAACAGAGAGTCCAAACCATGAGGAGGAGCCGACACCGCGCAAATATGGGTATGTACTCTGTTCCGCAAGGTACTTATGTTCTGCATTTCTGCGCAAAGTCTTCAGTCGTTTTCATTATTACAATTCACTCAAAGCAAATGTTGCTGGTGTCTTTGGCCCCTGCGGTTTGTGAGTGATGACTGCAGGCTGGAGGACCTGATGGAGGTTTTTTTCTCTCAGTAACTATTTGATGGATAAAGCCTGCTGCATGTGGTTATCAATCTCCTTTCCAATGTCTCAAAAAAATGACTTTGGCTGTTGTAATGAATGTAAGTGTGAACCTAGATTTGACATGAACACAGGGATGCAAATGAGGTAGGCTGCAAATAACCCCTTCTGTTAACAAATGCCTCAGAACACAGTATGGGTTTTTACCGTTTGGTTCACGGATTCAGTTTAATTTATTATTTCATTCGGTTTTATTCTTTTCTCGTCTGTGTTTATTCATCCTGATTTGTGCGTGTTTTATGCTCTTCAGTCTATCACTTTTCTGTGTGTCTGCAGGACTTCTCGTGCTTGTCAGATGGCTTGTATTCACAGTGGTGGTGCCCGGCTGGCTGCTTGCTGCTCCGAGCGGCATCCGTGAGCGTCCCTGCCCCCAGAGCTGTAGATGTGATGGGAAAATAATATACTGCGAATCCAATGCCTTCCTTGACGTTCCAAGCAATGTGTCTGTAGGCACACAGGGCCTCTCCCTGCGTTACAACAGCCTGATGAACCTCAGAGACCACCAGTTTGCTGGCCTGAGTCAACTTGTTTGGCTCTACCTCGACCACAATTACATCAGTGATGTGGACGGGCAGGCTTTTCATGGGATACGAAGGCTCAAAGAACTGATTCTCAGCTCGAATAAGATCACGAAAATAAAAAACAACACTTTTCACGACGTTCCGAATTTACGTAATCTAGACCTTTCCTACAATAAACTGCAGGTTCTCCAGCATAATCAGTTTGTGGGTCTACGGAAACTACTCAGTTTACATTTGAGGTCAAACTCTTTAAAAACGGTCCCAATGAGAGTTTTCCTTGACTGTCGTAACCTGGAGTTTCTTGATATTGGCTATAACAGGCTACGGAGCCTCACACGTAACGCCTTTGCAGGACTTCTTAAACTCATCGAGCTTCATCTGGAGCACAACCAGTTCTCAAAGATAAACTTTGCTCATTTCCCTCGCCTGACTAACCTGCGGGCGCTCTATTTGCAATGGAACCGTATCAAACTGCTAACCCAGGGCCTGCCGTGGATGTGGACCTCCTTGCAAAAGCTGGACGTCTCTGGAAATGATCTCCAAGTGTTGGACCCAAGTACATTTCAATGCCTCCCTAATCTTCAGACTCTCAACCTGGACTCCAACAAGCTCAGCAATGTGTCTCAGCAGACAGTGGAGGCTTGGATTTCCCTCACCACCATCAGTCTGGCTGGTAATCTGTGGTACTGTAACCCCAACATATGTCCCCTGGTGGCCTGGCTCAAGGCCTTTAAGGGTAACAAGGAGTCCGCAATGATCTGTGCTGGCCCCAAGGAGGCACAAGGTGAGAAAGTGACAGATGTGGTGGAGACTTATAACATCTGTACAGTGACACCGGCCCCCATCCCCTCAACGACATTGCCCCTCACTTCTGCATTTGAACCTGAGCTGCTGCCTTTCCCCACACAGTCTGTGGTGGATAAGAAGCTGGTCTGGAACAGGACAGCCTCCCCTACTCCTTCCGAGGCCTCCCCCACCATCCCTTTGCCAGACACTGAGTATGTGTCCTTCCACAAGATCATAGCTGGTAGCATGGCACTCCTCTTATCTGTGGCTATAATTCTACTGGTAATCTATGTCTCATGGAAGCGCTATCCCAGCAGCATCAAACAGCTTCAGCAGCGCTCGGCGGTTAAAAAGCGCCAGAAAAAGGCACGGGAGACTGAGCGTTCCCTTAATTCACCACTGCAAGAGTACTATGTGGACTACAAACCTTCACACTCAGAGACTATGGATGTGCTGGTTAATGGGACAGGACCTTACACATACACCATCTCAGGCTCCAGGGAATGCGAGGTATGACCGTTGCCCTACAAAAATCCATTTCCACTGCGAGGCATGAGAGGTAAATTTTCTAACAATCTGCGGAGAAAACTACTTTTTTTTCTCGTCTGCTCTTGTCTGTTTTGGGATAAGAAAGCAAGGGTCAGTGCATGGTGACTTGTTTTACAACATGCTGGGTTTGTTCGGTTCCATATGATTACCCAGCTGTTGCTCTGAATCATACAGTTTTATTGCTAAAATATGATTTGCATTAGCTGAAATTGCAGTGGCAGCTCCTCTCCTTGGAGAACTTACATACAGCAAGATGCATTATGCACAAAGTAGGTACATCTGTCATCCCTGACATAAAAGAGCCCATTGATGATTCTACGTATTATCAGCCAGCCTATTATTTATTCACAAATGGCTTGCTGTCCGAAATAGAATGATAAAAAATGATAAGATCAAGTCACTGTGCAGGGGGTCCTTTCCTATCCTGTGTATTTGCTACAACAGCTGTAGTAGCAAATACACGAGTCCTGTGAGTTTTGAAATTGGTTTTGTGCTGTATTGAATATGTTAATATTTACTATCATACCAGCTGATTATATGTCCCATTCTCATTTTCTGCCTCAAGCAATCATGTACTTTAGAATTTTAGTCAGGAGTTTAATTTACAAAGTTCAAACATTCACCGCAGGGTGGAGAACAATATAAAGGCCTGCAGCCAAACAAAAGATAAATTATGCAGTTGGGCTTGATTTCTGTCCGGCTTTAGTGTACTTCTGCAGCAACAAACTTCATTATGCTGCTTTTGTGTAATCTCAGAAAGATAAAGAAACTATTCGGCTACACAAGTGAGACTTTTGTCCAAAAAGTTTAAATTGAAATTCTCATCCCAGACTCTTTCACATGGCTGACTCTGAACCAGTGGTACGACACTGAGGGACTAATCAGTTTGCTCATGCTTAATTAGGCGCTTTTTTGCCTGTGTAGTCTTTCCCCCCCCTAATGCTATGCATCTGTCTCTCTTTGTCCAGCATCTTTTTTTTCTTCATTTCATTTGCTAGTGTGGTTAAATGTGAGTAACAGGACATGTTGTGCTGGGAAAGACGTCATTCTACTGGAATCGTATAGCCGCACATTTTGTCGGACTCACCTGCTGTGAAGGACAGGAGACATCTTTCTGTGAGCGCAGCTCAGAGCCAAAGGTCTCTCTCACACTCCTGCACAGCTCATTTTCTATATTCCACTTGGACCCTATAAATCATTTCATAACATGTCTTAAGTCAGTAGATTGCACTGTAGCACCACTTACATTCTTGTAGTGTCCTTTACTGAAGTCACTGGAGAGGCCCGCACAAATATGTTTCATTGTTTTTAGTATCGTCAAATACTATGAGGTACACAGGTAGCTAAATCAGGTCTTTGTCCGATTATCTGTGGCAGAGCATTTTGTCAAACACACAGGAAGCTTGAGGTGAGGTGGTCGGCTCATCAATCTTGTAGCCTTCATGTGAGAATGTGGCATGGGAGCATTAAATGGCAGACCTAATGGGGCTTTTGCAAGCTAGAATAACTAATAGCCCATCAGAGGTAAGGAGCCGAGACTTCCCTCAGCTTTGTTATTCCTTGCCCTCTACAGCTCAAGGGAGCAGCCTTAGTTGTTAAAAATGTAATGGGATTTTTTTTTTCTGTGTGTATGTGTGTGTTAAATTTTGTGACAAACACTGCAATGTAATGTAAGAACACATGCTACAGCAGAGGATTTTCCAAACCACAACCAGATTTGTATGCAAGTTAGAATGATGTGTTTATACTTTCAAACAGCTGCATTATTTGATCTAATGCAGTATAATGTTTAAAACTTGCATCAGAATTTACATTGCAAGAAGCCTGTGATGTGCAGTGATCGTGTCTAGGGCAATTAGCATCACAATACAGGCAATGCAGCACAGTGTCTCCTGATATATGAGAATGCCTTTCAGTTTTATTGAATGGCACACAGTGGAGAGTGTCAAGAAAGATGCAAGTGATAGAGATACTGTATATGTGAAAAAAGGCTGCTCCAGGGTTCAAAACCAACAATCAAAAGCAAATGCCCCCATAGTGAGCCCCCTGCACATTATTTTAGCTATCCCAGATAGCAAGCACTTAGGCTATTAGCTGCATTTTCAATTAGGAGAAAGAGCTTTGTAATTGAAGCCTGTTATCTTCTGCACATGCCTAGACTAACTTGGAGTAAATTTGTTTCTATAGATTTCCCCAGCTCAACAAGTTGGCTTCGAAAACTGCAAACTGAACTCGGCGAGAATGAATTTCGATGAACACTTTGAACTGTGTGGTTCCACGGTCTTCCTGTGGCACATTATTAAAAGCCCTCTCTCCCTTGAATGCCATCCACTTCTGTGCTCACAGAGCAGCTGCAGTGGTGAACGTCCACCCACGGATCATCTCTTGCAAAGTTAGTTCAGAAAATATTACAGTGAAAAGCCCGCCGTCTCAGCCAAAGGAGATTCTTGTACTTGGGCAGAATTTGCAAGAATGAATAAGTTGAGCAGATCCTGCTCATAGATTATTAAAGTGGGCTGTGAGAGAGCAGATGAAGTGAGTAGAAAGGAAGGTGCGCCGCTGCTGGTGCATCTAACTGACTGATAGAAATGCTCTCTTAACTGCTAGACCAAAAATTACTACACTTTTTAACTTCACTAATTCTTACAAGTGAAAGGGTCAGGATCATTGTAATGTTAACACTCTGATGAGCAAACTAGTTTTTAAAGTAACAATTTAAGCCAGCACAAGCCTTAATTATGCATTAAGTTGTTTTTATTTTTCCTTCATTTGAAATCAGAAATGTGGCACTCTGCATCCTGCTCCCGGTTATATTCAAAACTAAGGTCTCCTATGGATCTAATCAGTGTTTGCCTATTACAAATCCTGCAGCTGTGGGTACATTTTATTCAACAAACATTTGCTTAATTTTTAGGCTCTAGAATATGAGCCCCATCTTTGAAATGTCACGAAAAAGAAACAAAGATGATGAGCGATCAAAATATTCTGCCTCGGCTTGCCAAGATGGCAGCTTGTACTTCATCCGTGCGTAAATGCACAGAAGGCAGGCTTCCATCATACGAAGGAAGTTTGACAGCTTTCAATATTTGTTGTTCACTTGCCAAAGAAAGGTTAGTGGAACGGCCTCTCAAAAAAGGGTGCGTCATTTCTTTGACACGTCAGTTTGTATGTTGTAGGAAGCATGTATTGGTGTAATTTATGATAAAACAACACACCATGCAGCGATGAAAGGTAACACACATACTGTATGACAAAAAGAATCTGTGTTTTTAGTAACTCCACAAGAAGCAATATCTTTTTCCATTAATCCTCATTTTTCTTGGTCATCGTCTTGTTTGGTGGAATCGGAAATTTACTGCAACTGAGGATGGCAATGATCCATGGGTCCACAGAAGTAGACCACTTATCTTGTATCATACCTGATGATTTTGTGAAAAATGGACTTTGGTCAGCTCCGTTCAAACCCAAATGCAGTAAAATGCAGGGAGATACCGCCTTTTAAGTAAATTGGCTGTAACAGCCCATACAAAACATTTTTTAGTGTAATGTATTACTTGTCATCGGTAATGAAATGAAAGAAAAAACATACTAAAGTCACTAATACATTTTTGTCCATGATAACAGTGGCTCAATGTGTTTTGTGACATTGGGGACCGGTCATGTAATTATGGAAATTTAACTTTTTTTTCTAAAGCAAATTTCACGTTCATATTTTTTTGTCTGCAGTCAAGCCAAATAAACTGCTCAGGAGAGCAACAGGCAATGAATGCACTTATGTATGTGAAATATGAAGGTGCTGCTGTTCACTTAGCACAAAAACTAGAGAAGGTGTGTGTGTGTGTGTGTGTGTGTGTGTGTGTGTGTGTGTGTGTGTGTGTGTGTGTGTGTGTGTGAAATAATTCATTCTTTTTAGAAAGAAAATGAAGAGAAAAAAACAATATTACAGAAACTGAAGCAAAAATCAAGGATCTCCAAGGTCAAAATATACAAAAGAACCCACACAAACCATTAAATAAAATCTCAATTATTCTATTGAATCAAGGCTACAAGGCTTCCTTAAAGTCACCAAGTCTTTTACCCATTAAACTCATTAACAGCAGCACTGGAAACACACAGCTCATGGGCCAAGAGGGGAGGAACACCATTTTTGGGAGATCCACTGATTGTTGAATGAGATCCAGGTGTGGGTGTTCAGACACTCAGGTGTGATCGATCAGGAGGGGCATAGCAGGCCTGAAACATACAGAGAGACAGCTCTCTTCCAATAAGAGTTCAGAGGAAAAATCACTGGACGTAACAGTAACAATAATATACGAACAGCTCCTCTAAAGTTCACTGCAAAGTTATATCTCATTTAAATGAAATATCTGCAAAAACCAAAGTGTAAAAGCAACATACAGGGAGCTGTATGAATATTTCTTAATATTTAATAGTTTACTTGGCAACCTTAACGACTTTAAGGAAAGAGGCATTTCACCCGGTTTCCAATCCTCTAAACTAACTTTCAGTAAGAAAGCAAAAAAGCGTATTTCCCAAAATGTTGAACTCAATAGTGACTCTATACTAACTATGTACAAGTCTCTAGATATGCCAAAGATAGATTTAGCGAAATGTATGAAAAGCTGAATTTACACAGTTTCCATTTTCAGCCCGTTCTCCTTCCCAGGGCTTCAAATACCGACTCTTTTTCACGCCCCTCAGCTTCTGACAACGACGCTCAAGGCACCCTTTAGCATCTGTGTAGACTGCAATACAAACCCATCCACACCATTATTAGTGGTGAAACGTTCATTCATTTGATTGTTTTTGCAGGGACAGTGCACTATTAAAACTAATTTTATTATTTTTTCAGTATATTACAGTCATGATGATCCCTTGGCTTTTAATCAAATTGTTTTAGGATTTGTTTATAGAGTGAGGACCCAGGCTTGAGTGTAGTCAAACCTGTGACCAGGTTGTTA